GCCAGCGCTGACTGGCGGAACGGACGGGGGAGGGGGCGGGTACAGCTGGCTCTGCCTCTAGATAGGCAGAGCCAGCTGTCACTCATGCAGCTGGGCGGATCCAGACATAATTGTCGGGATCCACTTCAGCTGCGGCGTCTCGGTATATAGGGAGCTGTAGCTCGCGGTATACTGAGCTTAGGGTGACGGGAGGACGCTAGTTTGTGTCCTCCCGTTACCCTGAGAACTATGGGGAAAAACCCTGACCCCATAGTTCTCCTTTAAATGACCCAAAACACAATAAAATACCCATTTTGTTAATAAAATATAAAAGATGAGGTGACAACGAGTACATAGATACCCGACATGCCCAGGTTAAAAACTGTGTGCGTCCGTGAAACGGCAACAAACTTCAGTACCCCAAAAAGTCCATAGACGACACTTTCAAAGCCCCCCACAGGTCATCAATTTAGAGATACTCAAAAATACTGGCCCTAGAATGATTGTTCTCACTCCGGCGTGCGCGGCGATACCCAACATGTTTAGCACGTTAGTCGTTTTCATACGTAGGCGCACCCGACGCGTGTTTAAGTGGCGGCGCGCGTGCTTGCCGGGACTGTAAAAAAAACATTTACATTATTTTTAGATTTATTTTATTTACTTTTAAGCTTACAAGCCCCCCATGTGATATCAGATGGTGGTGACTGGTACTCTTTAAGGTGATGATGGGGGTCCAAAAGACCCCTAGTGTCACCTTTACATGCCAAATAAGCTATTGAAGTGCAGATCGCAGGCTTCAGGAGCCGACCAATGACAGCTCAGGGAGCGGAAGTGAAGCAATCTGCATCGCTCCCGGTCCCATAGAAAACGGGGAGGGGATCGGTGAACGGAGGTTCGTCCATCTCCTCCCCAGCTCCCCGCCGACACCAGAGAAGCCGGTCGTACGAGCGCAATGATCGTTTTCGCGCGTAGGTGCACCGGCGCGTGTTTGCGTGTGTATGTGCATGCACGTGGGGGACTTTAACATTTGTATTAATATTTTTGAACACTTTTTTTTTTTTACACTAACCTTATTGCCATCACATAGGGGGGCTAACAAGGGGGCTACATACGAGTGACAACTCTGCTCCGAATTCAGCAGCAGTGCAGCATTGTTGACACACCAGCACTGGAAGCTGCAGAAGGATCAACAGGTCTTTGTGGGACTAAACCTGTACGTGCAGATGGACTTATTACGCCAAAGTTCTACTTTAAGCCTTACCGCTGTGCTCACCTTTAGCATGAAATGTCCACTGGTCTCGAAAGTACTCCCGCAGCTGGACCCGATGGTTCTGTCTCTTTCGGCAGACTTCGTTGTAAAACTGATGTTCTATGTGCACGTAGGCGGATGGTATGGCACCTGCGATACCCCGAGCCCCATAAAAGCCATTGACCTCCGGAGAGGCGAGCAGGATGTTGTAGTCGGCCCGGGTGCCCAGTACTAGGTCCATGTACCCCTGAGTCAGGTTAAAATAGCCGGTGGTCAGATGCAGCCGGTCTCCTCGCTCGGCCTCCGTCAGTAACGTTTCTGTAACCAGCTCGTCTATCTGGATACCAAAGGGCCTCATTTGCACCAGCGGGTAGACCCAAGTGTCTGGAGGTTCCGTCCCCAAGGCGGGCTGTCCGCTCTGAAAGCTGGCGCTGTGCAGCTCGCATTGCTTGCGCCTGGCCGTCTCTATCACGTCCATTACTCTCTCCTTGGCAGCGTCACAATACTTCTTCTTGTTCCCTGCGGGAGAAGATGGAAGAGGGTCAGTTATACCTCCCGATACACAAAATAAGTACGCACACAGACGACGGACACAGGCTACCGAGGTCTCATTGCATGCTAGCCCT